ATATATAAGGCCTTGATGTGTGGAGAAGAGAAAAGAGAAGAAAACAATAAGGGAAAATATTAACTCTGAGTTAGAATAAACTTTTATTGAACACAAAGCCGTCTTTGAAGCACTGGGAGTTTATTTGTGAATGAGACGTCATGAAGTTGCAACTCTGTATAATTTATAGCTCATTTGTAAATTCAGGCTTGGACAGAGTTGATCTTTTACTAAAACAAATATATAATAAAGATAAGAATTTAAAAGAGATCAGATTATTATGTCAGTGCATTTATTGTGAAAAGACTCATTTGAACATTTTGCGGTGTAGTAACTTAATTTTGTTAGTTTTTTTTTTTGTTGTTGTTGTTTTTTGCATTCATATATGTACTTTTATTTCCTTTTGTTATTTAGAACCTTATTTTCTGGTTTGCTTTATTTATGTTCGTCCTTTATGTGGCTTCTGGTAAAGTTATTTCCTGTTTCTGCTTTCGTCAGTCAGCAAACCTGCTCTGTGCTTGCTGTCATCCTACCTCAGTTGAAACCAGATTTTCTTCATCATCTGACCTTAAATCAGACTAAACCTTTCTTGTTTTAGGTCAGTGGGTTAGGGGTGAGATTTCCAAAACTTATTTCTTTATTTTATGTCTTACCCCTCAGATCAATTTTTGACATGCAAATCTGGTTGAAATCTATCCAAACTGTGGTCATTCAAAAGCTATCCACAACAGGTAAGATATTATTTATTTGTAATCATTCTCTTCCTGGTAATGTAATATAACTCTGCAGAGATGAAGCCAGATGAAACCGGTCTATTTTAGGGATTTTCTGCCTTTTTTAAAAACAAGAAAACACTATTATATGCAGTTCAAATATGTCACTGCTTAAGAAATCTTTGCATGCAATTCTCTATGTTTTGACAACTGTTTTGATCCGTAACCATGCAACTGGAAAAGTTATTTAAATTTGTAAACCACTGGCCTAAGTAAATAAATTTTAGGTTGACCAATCTCAAACCATTACTGTCAGGATTTGGTAGCTACTGTATGGTCAGCATTCTTTGGCTCAAATTAAACTAAATTCAGTTCAATTACATAAGTATAATTATTTTATTTTTAATTTTTTTTCTTTTCATTTTGATTTCAGGGTGCAACAGATAAAAGATGATGTCCTTCTTGGAATGACTAATATAAAAAGAAAATAATAATAATAAGCTTCTCATCATTCCAAAGGCAGAAATAGCACAGAGACACTGTTTGCACACTGCAGTCCTTCTGTTAACATGAACATGCAAAACGTTTCCATTGTAGTTCCTAAATAAATAAATGAACCCTGTTTTGCTTTGCAAAGTCCTTCACCACCTTAGATTCACAGGGTGTGCTCACGGTTTGGTCTCATAATTAGAAGTGCTTCAAAAAACAAACCTTTGTGGATTTGGCGTCCATGTTTTAGCACACAGATTAGATTTAAATAAGTCTAAAACTCATGTGCTGAATTTCAGGCAGCCTACAGCTGATAAATGACACACCTGTRAGTGCACTATCATCTTGGTTTTGTTTAGAGAGGTGCATCTATAATTAGAGAGGAAACCACATACTGTTTGTAATCTACGTCCTTTTTCTCTTTAATTTACTCTAATGACTGGTTTTGTTTTGTTAAGTCATTGCCTTCACTTGAAACACAGCAAACCTCAGAAACACATGAAATACGATTACATTGTGTTCAGTTTACAGTAACTTAGGTGGTCTAAAAAAGTAAACGAACATTTATGCACTAAAGTTTGGAAATGTGGTAATGTAACTCATACATAACAAAAATTTAGTCTTTGTATGTTGCTTCATAAAGTTTTTGTCTTTGCTTATTTGTAGCAGAGACGGTCCACAAAGTGTTAACTGCTTTTTAATAAGAAAAAACTTAGAATACAGCGGGTAAAATAAATATTGAACATGTCACCATTTTTCTCAGTAAATATATTACTAGAGGTGCTAATGACATGAAATTTTCACCAGATGTCGGTAACAACCCAAGGGATCCATACATACAAAGAAATCAAACCATAAATGTCCAGAAATGAAGTTATTTGTAATAATGTGGAATGGCACAGGGAAAAAGTATTGAACACACTTACTGAAATTTATCTAATACTTTGTACAAAAGCCTTTGTTGTCAATGACAGCTTCAAGACRCCTCCTGTATGGAGAAACTAGTGGCATGCATTGCTCAGGTGTGATTTTGGCCCATTCTTCCACACAAACAGTCTTCAAATCTTGAAGGTTTCGTGGACCTCTTCTATGAACTCTGATCTTTAGTTCTTTCCATAGATTTTCTGTTGGATTCAGGTCAGGTGATTGGCTGGGCCATTCCAGCAGCTTTAGTTTCTTTCTCTGAAACCAACTGAGAGTTTCCTTGGCTTTGTGTTTGGGCTCATTGTCTTGCTGAAATGTCCAGCCACGTTTCATCTTCATCATCCTGGTAGATGGAAGCAGATTTTTATCAAGAATGTCTCTGTACATTTTTCCACTCATCCTTCCTTCAATTATTTGAAGTTTGCCAGTACCATATGCTGAAAAACAGCCCCACACCATGATGTTCCCRCCTCCAAACTTCACTGTTGGTATGGTGTTTTTGGGCTGATGTGCAGTGCCATTTGACCTCCAAACATGATGTGTATTCTGGCATCCAAACAGTTCAATGTTGGTCTCATCTGACCAGACTATATTCTCCCAGTCTTACACAGGCTTGTTTAAATGTTGTGCAGCAAACTTTAAAGGAGCTTCAACATGCTGTTTCTTCAGCAGTGGAGTCTTGCRTGGTGAGCGTGCATACAGGCCATGGTGGTTCAGTGCATTACTTATTGTTTTCTTTGAAACAATCGTACCTGCTAATTCCAGGTCTTTCTGAAGCTCTCCACAAGTGGTCCTTGGCTCTTGGACAACTCTTCTGATAATTCTTTTCACTCCTCTGTCAGAAATCTTGTGAGGAGCACCTGGTCGTGGTCGGTTTATGGTGAAATGATGTTCTTTCCACTTCTGAATTATGGCCCCAACAGTGCTCACTGGAACCTTCAGAAGTTTAGACATTCTTCTGTAACCGATGCCATCATTATGCTTTGCAACAATAAGGATGTGAAGGTCTTGAGAGAGCTCTTTACTTTTACCCATCATCAGATGGTTCTTGTGTGATACCTGGCCATCATTTGGGACTGAACCAGCTGATATTAACTTGCACTGACAAGGGACAGGCTTGCTTTCTAATTACTGAGAGAGTTCAGCTGGTGTCTTGGCTTTCCATGCCTTTTTACACCTCCCTTTCTTCATGTGTTCAATAGTTTTTCCCTGTGCCATTCCACATTATTACAAATAACTTCATTTCTGGACATTTATGGTTTGATTTCTTTGTATGTATGGATCACTTGGGTTGTTACCGACATCTGGTGAAAATTTCATGTCATTAGCACCTCTAGTAATATATTTACTGAGAAAAATGTTGACGTGTTCAATACTTATTTTACCCGCTGTAAATAGTTTGTTTATGAAACACCATGACAGAAGAGGCTAAAATTTAACCGGAAATTAAGTGCCAAGCGTACCTCAAATAAATACACTGCCTTTCATTTTAGATCATCTCGTGTTGAGAAAAAACAAAGTTGTAACTGGAAATAAAAAAATAAGAAAGTAATAAGTAAAAATAACTTCAAGTGTGAGTAAATGAATATGCTCAAAGTTTGTTCTATAAATTGCTTTCAGCTACTGCCACATCAAGTTTTAGCTCAATATTGGTAAAATCGACTGAATTATCTCCATTTTTCTGTTATTTAATCTGGATTAGTTGGGACGGCCTTCTTGCATTTGATCGGCTCCAAAACTTAAACAACTATAGATGTGCAGCCAATTGTTATTTTTTAAAAGTTTCATCAAAACCAGTCCAGTAGTTKCAGAGATATTTTGCTAACAGAGACACAAACACACATCACCCATCTTTGCCTCTCAGGCACTCATGATCGAGTTCAAGAGAAGTCATAATCCATTATTCATGGCTGAAGCGTTCAGCGTCAAGACTGTGAGACATATCTGAAGGTTGTCAACAAGCTCAGACAAAGAAAATCCCTGAACCGTTCAAAAACCTCATTTCATCAAAGAAAGACTGGAAGAGTTTGCATTTCTCAGGAGTGTCTTATCAAAGAGGGATCTGAGGAATCTAAAAAAAATGTGGAAGCTTAATCTGAACACCTGTGACCTTCAGTTCTGAAGTATCTGACTGAACCGTCTGTCTCTTACAGAGGTGCTGTGTAACAAGAAGCTTTTTGTTGACTTTGTTCACATTCATTTTACAGTTTTATTTTCTTTAATAAACGAGGAATAAAAGCAGAAGATAATCTCCACCCTCTTTTCCCCTCTTTCTGCCTCATTGATTCAAGTTCATTTCTTCCTCCTCTTACATAACTTGTGGTCATATTTCACATTAAAATCTTGTGCTTTACAGAGCAGAAGTGTCCACCAGCCTTAAAGCCAAACCTGCGGTTTATTTTTATTTATTTATTTATTTAATATTACAACCAAGTCACCAGCCAGACGAGGCTTTGAACAGAAATCCAGTCAGAAGAATTGTCTTGTTCTTCCATTTGGTTCTGGCTCCTCCCAGACAGCTTAGTAAAACATTCCAGCCCACCTCTGGGAGTCTGCTGGCTCCTGCGCTCACGTCTCCCTCAACTCCAGTCCAGGGTTTGTATGAAGGGAGCTGCGACCCAAAATGAGAGGGATTCTCGTCCTGGTTACTTTGGCCTGCATTGCCAGCGCTCAGCATCAAGCACTGATTGACTACTTGGAGAGGAGGCTGCTTGCTATAGAGGTAAGTCTCTCTTGGCCTTCCTGCTGAGCCCAGAGCTCCAGAGTCCCCCCCCTGACAGGAAACTTTCTGGGGCACGGCAGATGCAATGGAATGCAGATGTGTTCAAATACTGGGGAAAATACTCTTCATCATCTGTTCAGACTAAAAGCTTCTGATCTGGAGGAAAAAGAGCCAGACTTTTATGTGTTCTTTTAAACTGGGCTGGATCAATAATTCTTAATGCTGTTTAATCTAGACTTTGGCTGCTTTTTCTATCCTGTCCTTACCTGATACCAAACAACAATATGGTGCAGGATATGCTTCAAAAATAAAGAAAGTAGAGCAGTGGAGGACAAAAGAAGCTTCAGGCCTAAAATACTTTTTACAGCAGCTGCGTTATCTGAAAATCACATTTTTTTACAGAAACGGGGGAGAAATTTAATGAAAGAACTGAACCTGAGAGCTGCATCATCCTTTAGCTGATCATTGACTGTTTCATCTTTGTTTTATTTTCAAAGTTTTAACTCTGGGAACAAACTGCCTAAAGGTCCAATTTAACATGGTTCTCAGCAGAGTTTTCTGTTATGAGTTTAGGAGCCAAAATGATTCACAGGTGGCTTAAAGCAGGAACATTCCTCCAAAATGCAAAAAGCAAGGTAGCAAAAAAAAAAAAAAGGGAAGAAAAATGATTGTGTAAAAATATCCATTTGCCCCATAGAGTAGCTGCTGTTACCATATTTTGTGGTTGTTGTTTTTCTTCTCCAGTGACATACAGTAAAGAGGATAATTGAATTGAACTGATAACTTTATGCGATCATGGATGAAGTTGAAGAGAAAAAGCAGCTTTGTGATTGCAATTTTATAGATGTTATCTTTTATGCAGCACATTTTAAATATAAAACAACATACACTACCTTTTTGCCTTTTACTGTATATTTGTTATTATAAAACATTTCAAACTGGAGTGTTGAGTGTCAAACAAACTCACACACTCATAGCAAAACCCCAACTCTGATCATTTCTCTTGGAAGAAGCAGAAAACCTTTTGGAAAATCTTCATAAGATTTTTCCTGATGCATCTCAGTAATCCAGGTAGAAAAAATCAAAAAGAAAAAAAAATAAGTAGGTCCTCTGGATGGGTTCTTCTTTAGTGAAACGTTTCGTCTCTCATCCAAGAGACTTCTTCAGTCTGATGAGTTTCAGGTGAACTCAGCCTTATAAGCACTGCCTCCACATGGACAAACAGGTTAGTCACATGCAAAAGAGGGCCATCGCCTAACAATAGGCTTGATGCTCCATTGTTCATAGAGGGTCATGTGCCCCATCACGACTTATTGGTTTGGATGCTTCGGCTGTGGTTATTTGGTGTTTTGTTGTGTGTATGTAGTGAGTGCAAGCAGGGTTCAGCGTCCCCTTGTTTTTGTCTCTCTTTCCCTCTTTGTGTTGGTTATCGTTGGGGCCCTGACTCACAACTTTTGCTCACAGGGAGCTGAGTCATACTTGCAATAACAGCGTTGTAGGAGGAAGACAACTGGACACGAAGAGCTCCACATGTTTGTCCACCATGTGGAAACCCATCGAGAGGACCTACTTTTTTTTTTTCTTTTTGACTTCATAAGATTTGTACAAACTGTTTACAGCACTTTAAGAATGCAAGAAAGTTTGTCTCTTTGGAAGTAAAACAACAACAACAAAAATGCAGGAATGACTCGAAACATTTGCACAATACCTCTTGCAAAATTTGTCCTCACTTGATCAGGGTTGATGTGTCCTTGCTGTGGCCTTCTATTGCTGAGTATTTATCTCTCCTGAATGCAGCAGAGATCTATGGCCTCAAGTCATTTCTAGCATTTACAAAAAAAAAATTAAATATATTTTTACTACAGAAGTGTAAGCAGGTTGTGTTCTGACTCTGACTGCACCGGCTGGGTTTGATTAAACACAGGACAGGATCACTCTGTGGCAGGAACAGACCACTCGTTATGCCTCCGAGCTGCGGGAGCTGAAGCAGCAGATGGTTTCTCAGCTGGAGAGTCTGGACAAAGAGAAGGAAACGCTGAGAACCAACCTGGACGGCGTGGGGACGAGGGTGGACCGGGTGGAGCGGGAGCTGGACTACCTGGAGACGCACAACGGGGCCCAGCCGTGTGTGGACGTGGATGACAAGCTGATAGAGCAACAAGTGACTCTGGTGACAGAGAAGCAGAAGACCAAATACTTCAAACTCACAGGTGGGCAAAAACACCAACTTTCCTTTTAATGGGCACATATTTTATGGGGAATTGAACCGGAAACCCACCGATTCCAGGATGACTCTGTGACAGCAAGCCTAAAAAATGGGCAGAAAACCAACCAAAATCATGACAATATGAGGGTCAGTCAGGACAAGTTTCAATCTATTATAAAAGAGATCAACATCTCCTTGGTTCACATATTTAGACCTTTCCTATGTGGAAATACAATTTATCCAAAACAGTGTTTTGTCATCTAAAACAGTGGTTCCAATCTTTTCAGCTTTCGACCCACAAAATACCAGCAGCAGAGACCTGTGCCCCCAGCTGTTGTTGGTTGATATGATAAACATTGTTTTCATGTCAAATAAACCAGATGTTGCAGCTTGAAGACATCAGTCGACGAATGGAGTAGTTT